GCAGGGAGCCCGATGTGGGACTCGATCCCAGGACCCTGGGATCATGACCTGAGCTGAAGGCAGTCGCTTAACCAACTGAGCCACCCAGGCGCCCGCCATCTTGAAATTCTTAATCTTGAATAAGGGACCCCACATTTTCATTTTGCACTGGGCCCCCAAATTATGTAGTAGGCCTATTTCCAGCTATATTCCATGCATAGTTAAACACATGATATACACATGTACCCCTCTTTCCATCCCCTTTTCTTTTAGCATTTGGTGATTCTTAAAAGAATGTGTGTGGGTGAAATTTCCCAGAGAGAAGATGCAGAAGTTATTACTGCTATTTACCAAATATGTCTGCTTCTTCTGTTTCTGGGCACAGAAGGGGATATATGGTGAGACTGCATTTCCTGGTTCCCTGGTAGTTAGATGGGGTCAAGTGACTAGTGTTGACAAATGAGTTAGGGGCTAAAGGGAGTGCATCATTTCTAGGTCAGAGTGTTTTTTTTAAAGATTTATTTATTTTTTAAGATTTTATTTATTTATTTGGCACAGAGAGAGAGATAGCAAGAGCAGGAACACAAGCAGGGGGAGCAGGAGAAGCAGGCTTCCAGCCTAGCAGGGAGCCCGATGCGGGGCTCGATCCCAGGACCCTGGGATCATGACCTGAGCTGAAGGCAGGCGCTTCACGACTGAGGCACCCAGGCACCCCTATTTATTTATTTTAAAGAGAGAGAGCACACAAGTGTGTGCGTGTGCACGTGAGGGGTGGGGGGAGGGGCAGAGGAAGAGAGAGAGGGATAAAATCTCCATCAGACTCTGGCTGAACACAGAGCCCCACCCGGGGCTCTATCCCAGGACCTTGAGATCATGACCTGAACTGAAACCAAGAGTTGAAAGCTTAACCAACTGAGCTAGGTGCCCCAAGGTCAGAGGATTTAATATATGTGCTGCTGAAGCGAGCACAAGGTCAGAGGATTTAAATGCCACTGTAAGACCTGCCAGATTTCTCATTCAAGAGTTCAAGATAGTGGCTGTTCCATTAGTTTTGTTTTCTGAGTGACTACGATGAGCAGAGCCTCCTGGGTGATCGATCCATGGTGAATATTTATTGTGGATGAGAAATAAAAGGACATTGTTTTTAAGCCATGAGATTTGGGGGCTGTTTGTTATTGCAACATAACCTGTCTTATCAGGACTGATAGAAATATAAAAAATACTGAGACAGAATTTGCAGGAACTGACACATAAAAGGAGAAGAGTCACAGAAAGATAAGACAAAGAGTCATAGAGGTAAAGATGAGAAACTAGGGGCGCCTGGGTGGCTCAGTCGGTTAAGTGTCTACCTTCAGCTCAGGTCATGATCCTGGGGTCCTGGGATCCAGCACCCCCCCCACCATCGGGCTCCCTGCTCAGTGGGGAACCTGCTTCTCTCTCTGCCCTTCCCCCTGACTCATGCTCTCTGTCGCATGCACACCCTATCTCCCTTTCTCAAATAAATAAAATCTTAAAAAAAAAAAAAAAAAAGGATGAGAAACTAGAAGAAGGGGCCCAGGGGAGTCATGGTAATCAATGGAAGAAATTGCTCAAGAGGTAGGGAGTGGTACATGATGTTGGTCCAAAAGTTTAAATAGAATAAGGAATAAAACATATCACTAAATATGGCAACTGAGAACTCAGTGGTAAGCTTATTAAGAACAGTATCCATAAAGTGGTGGTAAGAGAAATAGTAGACAGAGGGCTGAGGAAGCAGAGGGAAGGGCATGAGGGATCAGTGTATGCATTCAGCAGAAAGATCAGGAGCCCTGGCCATGTGCACTTATGAGAAGGGCCAAGAAAATTTACATTCAATCTCACCTTCCTTCTGCTCTCCAGTGTCCTGAACCAAGAGCCAGGAGGTAAGGTACTCTAAAATCATAGGTTATCAGAAAATTTGCTATTGGAAAATGCATCAGTAAGAATGAAATACTCCACTTTTGCCTGGAGGATCTAAGTCACCTTGCCACAGAGAAGCGGCCTCAATTTGCACCTTTGGTGCAGAGCTTCAGATAAAAGGTTTCTAGGCACAACATTCAACACCTGTCTTAGCTTTATTACTTTCAAGGAAGCAGAGCCCTGGGTCCACTTTGCAATCCAGATCTGAGATTGACCATTTTATACAAACCTGCTTTGTTTTGAGCCTATCAAAATCTGCTTTCATTTAAATTTAATCTAGACTCACCATCACCCATAATCCTATGATAACTCTGTCCATTTGATGATGGTGGTAGCTTCTCTGGCATGAGCTCTTTCTCACTGAATGAGTCAGTAAACCTCATTTTGCTGAATGGCAAGTTTGTTTCTGACAGTCTTAGGCTGACTGGGCTAGGTCAGGGTTGTAACTCTAGGGGCAGGGCAGAGAGCAGATCTCAACGGATCTCAAGGGTCACGCGGGAAATATCCAGCATAGAAGTAAAGTCTTCCTCCCCTCCCAGCAATTCTGATTCCCCCCACCATCTACAGACCAGAGTGCTGTGGAGGAAGTGTGGAGAGGGAGAAGAGGGAGATCTTCATTCACCCGGCGTTCATAGACATCTGGGGCTGAACAAAGTGTTGTAGAAATGAATCAGTCAGTCTCTGAGTGGGCCTTGAGGCAATAGAAAGATCTAGGCCCTTTATTAAGGCACAATGGAAGCACTGGGTCTCCTGACATTTGAAGGGCTGCCCCTTTCCCCCAACTGAAAGGAGTCCAAAAAAGTGAAAGGAAAAAGGGGATAAGGGAGAATGCTAAAAATGCCCTTCCTTTGAACACCATCTTTGTGCAGGCGTCTGGGGGAGGCAGGCTGGAGCAGGGTCATCTGCCAGCCAGGCCTGTAGGACTTCCCTTCTCTTGTTTATCCCCAGCCACATCTGGGTTAGTTGCCAGGGCCCGCCCCCACTGTGCCCTCACTGGAGGAACTCAAACATAAAGGCTCCTGCTAAGAATCAGTTTCATTTTCCTGTGTTGTGATTGTTCTGGGAAGGTTGAGCCCTGGTCGAGACCCTAACGGAGAGTGAGCCTCTCACCATGTCAGCCTGTTGCAGCTGGAAAGATGTTTTCCAGTATGAGACAAACAAAGTCCTCCAGATCCAGAGCATGAATTACGGCACCATTAAGTGGGTCTTCCACGTGCTGGTCTTTTCCTACATCGGGTAAGTGGGGTGTGGGGAGAACCCCAAATGTCTGCAGTAGTTGACAGCACAAAAATCCCCAAGTTACAGCTTCTGGTGCTTATCCTGAATTCCATGTGGTTTTAAATCTGAGACTTTTTTTCTCATAGCAAGCTGGGGCTGGAGGTGCCGGGGCGGGGGGGAGGGGTGTTGGGGGGATGCAGCTGCAGGAGGGGGGAAACAGTGCCAGTCTGCTGCGGAAAGAAGCCACAAGAGGCAAAGCGACACTTTGGGTTCTACCCCAGGCCTGCCAGTAGAAACAGGGCAACACCCTGGATTCCGTGGGAGGAGGCAAGGATTCAGAGCACACCTGGTAATAATCCTGGCATCTGTCTGAATCATCACCGCTTAGGGGAGGAATAGGATCAGACTCGTCAAGGTAACTTTAGGTCCTCTCTAGTGTCAGGAAGGCCCCCTCTTGCTCTTTTTCATTTTTGTTTCTTAACAGCTTATTGAGATATAATTCACACACTATACAACTCACTCATTTGAAGTGTACAATTTAGGGGCACCTGGATGGCTCAGTTGGTTAAGCATCCAACTCTTGATTTTGGCTCAGGTCATGATCTCAGGGTCGGGGGATTAAGCTCCATGTCAGCTCCGCGCTCAGCGTGGAATCTGCTTGAGATTCTCCCTCTCCCTCTCCCTTTGCCCCTCGCCCTGCTCGCGAGTGCACTCTTTCTCAAATAAATAAATAAATAAATCTTTAAAAAAAAATCAAATGTACAATTTAGTGGGTTTTAGTATTCAAAGTTGTGCAACCATCACCACAATCAATTCTAGAACATTTTCATCACCTCAGAAAGAAACTCCACAGCCCTGAGCCATCACTCCCAACCATTCTGATCCCCCATAGCTCTGGTGACCAGTGGGTCTACTCTCTGTCTCTGGGATTTGCCTATTCTGGACATGTCATAGAAATGGAATCATGCACTATGTAGTCCTTTGGGTCTGGTTTCTTCCACTCTGCATCATGTTTGCAAGGTGCATCCATGTTGAAACATGTATCTCTACTTCATTCCTCTGTATGGCCAAGTAATATTCCATTGTCTGGATAGACTTTTTTTTGGGAGGGGGTGGACATTTGGGTTGTTTCCAGTTTGGGGCTATTATGGATAATGGATAATGCTGTTATGAATATGGGTGTATGCATGTTTGCATGAACATGTTTGCAGTTTCCTTGGGTATTGTACCTACAAGTGAAACTGAAAGATCATTCAGTAACTTTATTTTTTTTTAAAGATTTTATTTATTTATTTGAGAGAGAGAGAATGAGAGAGAGCACATGAGAGGGGGGAGGGTCAGAGGGAGAAGCAGAC